TGCTGCTAACAAGGTGTGAAAATGACTACCTTCTTGCTCTTGGAATTCTTTGCTCAGCCATGAGGTTGAACTTTTTTCATGTTTCCTAGTCTTTTGTATCTTTTTTTTTTCTTTTTTTGGTGAATTTTTGGAACTGGTTTTGTTATTATCTGTAAGCAGTGTCCGTAGCCGTTTGTTGTATAATCATTTCCTCCCCCATCTTTGTGTTTATTGGATATTGAATTCTTACAAGATAATCTGTTCTAAATTGTGTTTTGACTTTTTTAAAATGACTTCTTTTCCGTATTTAGCGGGTATATGATGAAGAAGTGGAGGAGCCGGTACTCAAGACAGAGCCAGAAAAACCAGAACAGGTACTTGTACTAATTCATCCTTCGGCCGAGTTCCTGACTTAGAGTGGTAGACGTTTGTAATGTGGCTGGAGTTGTGGGGGCGTGGAGTGGGGTGGCTGTTGGGGAAATGGGGGAGATAGCTGCTGACAGGCTAACAGTTGGATCCTTTTGTTTGTTTCTGCGTTTTAGTGCAGTAGGTAATATGTAGGCTAAGTTCCTGAACCCTGGCTCAAGAATAGAGCAGAGGTCGGCAAAGTTTTCCTGTAAGAGGATAGATAATAAATATTTTAGTTTTTGTGGGCCACATAGGTCTTAGTCCCATATTCTTCTTTTTAAAGCAATGCTTTAAAAACGTAAAAACCACTGTTAACTCTAGGGCCATATAGCAGGCCACAGTCCAGACGGTAGTTTCCCTCTGGAATAGAGTATTATATAGAGGAGTTTTTTGACTCAGGTTTTCAGAACTACATAGCTGAACCAGTTCTGTGAGTTGATGTTAATAGAATTTCCCCAGGTATCTAAGTGTGCTGTTAATAGCTAATCCAGGAGTCCAGTAATGTTGAAAAGAAAGTTCAAGACTGGCCTTTGAAGACCGTGTTTCTCTCTTCTTCCATGAGTGCTTTGATTCTTAGTATTTCTGCCAGCTGAAATGATAGTAAATGAATACCACTCTGGTCCACACGAGTGCCTCTTGAATGCCACAGGATATGTTAGTACTGAGGATAACAGAACGCGCAGTGAACAGTTATTGACTCAGTAGTACACCTGCAGGGAGCTGGTGACTTAGACAAGGGGTTCCAGTCTAGAATGGGGTGTCAGCTGTGTGGCTGCTGATTATTTTGGAAGTTCAGATAAGGAGGAGCTTACTGGTATAAAAGAGCAGAGAAAAGCTTCAAGGATGAGACTTTGGCTGGTAAAGAAAGAAGGGCCAGATTTTGAGGTAGTGGCAGGGGTGGAAGCGTAGCATTTCAGCCAGAGAGAATGACGAGCGCTAAGGTTTGAAGTTGGGGGATGTACCCGGTATTTTATGGGCTGTGTTTGTGGAAGTTACTGCCAGTAGGCAAGACAAAGATAAAGGGGAGGGCTTCAAGAACCAGGTTAAGGAGTTGAGAGGCAGCAGTTCCTACCTTTCTTCCTGTGGCTTCACGTGTTATAGATTGATGAGCATTCTCCCTTGGGTGTTCCTGCATTGTAGGACCCATCAGCCATCCTGACTCGGGCACTGTAGCAGTGATTCTACCTGTTTCCCCCACGAGGGAAGTGCAGTGGAACGTAAAGAGTAATTTTCCTATGGGAGTAGCTCTGAATCAGCTCTGATTTACTCTGAAAACATAAACCGTTTTAAAAAGTTGGTACTTTGTAACAATTAGTACAGGTCTGCCTATTCCCAGTCTTTTTTGTTTAATTTTTAAAAATTTTTTGATAGTACGCAAGGATTTGCTAACCATTTAAATACAGTAGTTTTTGGCTATGCCAAGTCAGGGTTAAAATTTAAAGTGATTTGTATTCAGTGAACAGTGAACTGTTTTTAAAAAGCCACTGTATGTTTCTTTGACATTTTTCACAGACTCAGTGTAATATTAGCTATTTAACTCAGTGGCCAAGATGGACGTCGAGGCCCCTCGCTCCTCTGGGAGCGGAGACGCGAAGTGCTGTCCACTGTTAGAGTACTTGTCTGTGAGTTACCCAGCTGGCTCATCACACAGTGGCTGTACTTGGGGTTTTATAGATGATGAACTTGGAGCTCTAGGACCTTAGGTAGTTTGAAGCAGGTTTAGAAAGTGGCAGTGCTGGCGTTTAAAACTGGCATCTTACTTATATCAAAGTCTGTCAAGGCATTCAGAATCTAACTGTTGTTAACATCTTTAAGATTTTTGAAGCATGAGAGGCTAGGTATTAGAGTAGTTTATTAAAAAATACATATATTTATAAATATCAATGACATTTTAATAAATATTATTAAAAAATATTGTTCAGTATGGATCTTCAATATTTAACATATTGAAGATCCATACTGAATAATATATTTTTTTTTCTTTTGTAGGAGAAAACCCGGGAACAGAAAGAAGTAGATCTGATTCCTAAAGTCCAGGAGGCTGTGAACTATGGTTTACAAGTATTGGACAGTGCGTTTGAGCAGCTTGATATCAAAGCAGGAAACTCGGACTCTGAAGAAGAAGATGTCAATGAGCGGGTAGAACTGATCCTTGAACCAAAGGTAAAGACTTGCTCAGTTCAGATATTTATTGTTACCTGCTGTGTCCTGGATGTGCAATTAGTGAGATGTGGACTTTTCCTCTGGGAAATGAGTGTGTGTCTCTTGTTAGAAAGACTTGTTTTACATGCGCATTCATTGAGCACTTACTCGGTACAAGGTGGTATGCCAGGTTGGGGGGAACGAAGATGAAGACATGATTCCTGCTGTCGAGATGCTTATTACAGCGTGGTGGGAGAGGAGACATTTACCTGAGTAACCATCATTAGTACTCTGAGAGACAGTTGACTTCTGGCTGAGGAGTTAGGGAGAAGAGGAGACTTGAATTGGGTTTTGAAGGATGGAGAAGCCCGTAAGAGGTGGAGATTGTTAGGAGCCTGAAATTCTGTAGCTTGTGCTAAAGGGCATTGCAGAAGAGTTCTGGAAATGGACCTGGCCTTTTCAGAGGGGCCTGAAAATGGGTGCACTATACACGCAGCTGGTCTTCATCATGGTGTCCTGTCCCTTTGCTGCAGACCAGTTCTTTGAAGTTAATTCTAAAAATCAC